ACAAAGACTGGGTGAAAAGGGGCTTCAAAAATACTTGTATCATGGCTGGCAATGAATATGCGTCAGGGCACCTATTACTCCCATTCACCATGAAACACTTTATTCTTGATCCTGAGTATGACTGTGATGTTGACTTTCAAGAAACTAATTTGTTCTCTTCCTTTGGCATTTGCTTTTAATAAACCCATGTCAGCTTCTATGAAATTTTCTCTCTGCAGACTGGCATACGGATATGCCACTGACAAAGACCTGCATCTAAGTAACAATAAACCAGCCATCTCACATTTAAAAAATTACATTAGTTGTTTGCCTATCAATATTTTGTCCAAGTATCCAGCCTAATCTAATTTGTACAGGAATGACATTTTACATGCATTATGGGCAAATCACATTGTAGTTGACTATTTCCTCTCCCCTCACATACACTGAAACTGAGATAGTATAGTACCACAAACCTTTTCAGACACTGGGTTACAATAGATGTTGACTGAGGCTACGTCTAGATTGCAGGATCTGGTGGATGTCTGCATAGTAGGGGCAGGTGTGGGGTCCTGCCCCGGAGTGCAAGTTATGCTATCTGGACCTCATGTATCCCTGGCGGAGCTCTTTCATTTTACTCGGGATCTGTTCCAAGGTCCAGGGTAGGTGTCGACGCTCCACCAGGGACTCAGCCATCCAGTCATAAATGTCTGCGTTCCAGTGCTTGGAGTGCAGATCCTGTTGTGTCGTCTCCTTGCCCCACAGCTAGAGGTGGGACAGGATCTTCGCTCCAGACCATGAGGGTGCCCACCTCTTGGTACCCCTTGGTGGGTCTTGGGAGCTCTCCTCGTACTCCCTGTGAGGGACAGGCGGCACTGGGGGTCTAGGGGACTTGTGGCTGTGCCATCGGTGAGCAGGCCTGGCCGCCTGGTCAGGGTGCTGCTCCAAGGCTGGCTTCCTGCCACAAGGCTTGTCCACAGTGCCTGCAGCTTTAAGAAGTGCCAGGAGACAGGAACTATAAAATTGTAATTACTTTGGATAGAGTGGCCACCAGGGCACCTGGAGGCCTCGTCTTTCTAAAGAAAACCCTCTTCCCCATCCACACACAGCTTTTTCTGAAAGACCTCTTTTGGAAAAGGCATCTTCCTCATAGAAAGAAGCCTGTCGGAAAAAACCCTCAGTTCTTTTGATTTTCTTTAGAAAGAAAGCAATTGCAGTGTTGACATAATTCAATTTAAAAAAACCCTGCTGTTTTTCTGAAAAAAACTCTGTAGTGTAGACATAGCCATAGTAGCTCTCAGCTCTGCCTAGACAGGCCAGAACAATATGGGAGGTTCAAGGGAACCACAGAAGGGGAGGATATTGGGCACAGAAAGCATTATAGTAAAAGAGAAGAAAATAAATCTGACCATATGAAAAATGAGCATTTTTACCCATTACAAGGCCTTGTTGCTCTGAATAGGGTCGTCCTTGCATGCCTATTGATCTCCAGATGGAGTCATGGAGTTGATTTTGCCTACAAAGTTTAGGGTCTGCCTACTTGGAACCTCTCTTCTCATGCCATATAGTTACAGTTAGAGAAGGAGTCTGAACTGGAGCACTCTTGGTTTAAAAGAGAAGAGGCTGTAGACAGGATGTTTTGGGTGGCCCTACACTTTTGGTCTTATTCCTCCTTTTGATCTGAAATATCCTAAATCTACTGACCTTTCAGCAGTGTTGGAAGAAGGGGAGGGAATGAAGCGAGTGGTGGTATTTGTGGGTAGCATGGGATATTTTTGATTAATTTTTGGCAGGTTCAACTTCAGTAGCAGCCACAAAACCAGGCCTCTGGACTGGTTGACACCGAGGGGCTGAATTTTCAGTTTTTGTCAGGAGTGCCTAGAGCAACAGCCAGGTACATTTTGAACTTCTAAATCTAAATCTAAATACAGTAAAATTAGATGCAAACTGTATTGCAAAATGCTTTCCAGAGTTACAGAATATAACTACAGTTAGATAAATTGTATCGGGGAGAAAAAAGCTGGAGTGATGAGGAAAAGAGGTTTTCTGATGAAGTATGAAATGAGATGAAGGGCAGATAAAAGGAGACTATATCATACAGGAAGCTTGTTTCAGATGGTAGGAGCTGTAGATGGGAGGTTTCTATGCACAAATTATATAGAGGAATGGAGGTGCCAGTGCTACAGAGAAAAGAGTAGAGAGACCAGGCACATGAGGCCATTTGGAAGACCTCCATGTTGGCTTTGAAAAATAGAGGTAATATTTTTATTAGACCAACTTCTGTTGGTGAAAGAGACAAGCTTTTGAGGAACACAGCTTGAAAATTGTTTAGAAACCAGAAACTAGTCCAATAAAAGATATTCCTTCACCCACCTTGCCCCCGTAATATCCAGGGCTAACATAGTTACAACAACATGGCTTATCTTTAAAAAGCAGTAGACAAAAAGGAACAATACTGCACTGGCTAGATCCACCATAATACCTTACTGCAGGGGTGTGGAACGTGAGGCCGGGGGGCTGGATGCGTTCCCAACTTGCCTGGATCCAGCCCCCAAAGCTTGGGACTCCCCCATAGTATTGGGGAGCCTGTGATGGTGCTTCAGCCCCCTGAGGGTCTGGAACACAAAAAATCTACTTGCCTGGGCTCCCTAGGCTCTAGGGTGCAAGGGAAAATGTAGGGAGTACATTTCTGCTTCTTAGTCGGGGGCCACATCAGTGAGGTTTTTTTTTTTTTTTTTTTTTTGCTTCTCACTAGTGTGCGGCCCCCGACTGATTTTTCTGTGGGTCGGTGGCCCCGGAGCTAAGAAAGTTTCTCCGCCCTGCCTTACTGGCGCTGGATCAAAAGAGGAAGGAGCTGCCATGACAGAGGGTGGGGCACCAGGAACAAATAACAAAAGTTTTAATGTAAGAGCTAAGGAAGACACCGGTCACAGTCTTGCTCTTTTCTATTTTGAAATCTAATTTACAGCCTATTTCCTTGCTGTCATGAGGAGCCTGAGCACATGAGCAATAACTGCAGGACTCCTCTACTAAGGAAGTAAAAACAGACAAATATTTATGATGAATAACATTAAATACAATGCATAATCTCTTTTAGCATTTCTTGTCAGGGCAGCATAGTAGATGGATAATTATATTAGTTTATATTTTATTTAGATGAGATTGGTCAGGATTTGAAACTCTATTTGCTGTCAAGGCAGGAAAGTTCAACTAGCCCACTAAGCCTGCACTTACCGTTGCCACACTTATTTAAATACAGTGGTTTATGTACACATTCATGGCCTGAGAAACCGTTTGCTGAAGCCTGTCAGTATTGGCAGGAGGATTTCCCATTAATTTTAAAAGTATATTTAGCTCCTGACAAATGCAAAGATGAATTTAGAATATTTATGCTTGAAACTGGATCTAAACAACTGTAAGTACTTTGTAAGAAAGGAGGAAGAAGCATCCTGGTGTGGGTGAAGCACAGGAGTAGGACTCGGGTGAGATGGGTTCTGTTTTTGATTCTGCCACAGCCACCTTATGCAAATCATGTTTACTCTCCACCTGTCTCAGTTTCCCCATACAGAAAATGTAAATACTAATTCTGACTTATCACACGGGTATTATGCAATATATAGTATAGACTCTATAACTTGTATGTTTCTCAAGTGAAAAATACTATATAAATGAAACATATTATGAGCAGAAGCCTAGACTGGAGAAACAGAGTGGAAACATGATTTATGTTGTCTTTTAAAAAAAAAAATCTCTTCTAAATAGGGACAGCTGCTATGTAGAATTTCAGACTCACAGTAAGAACCTCAGAATCCCTCATCTTCTATTCAGATCATTCCTCCTCTCCCCTTCCCATTGAAAGTACTGAACGTATTGATAAAAAAGACACTCCAGTTCCCTGAAAGGAAGTAAATATGATTTTAAATGGAACAATTAGTATTTGATTGACAGAAATTACTTTCACTGCTACCAGAAATGATTTGTGTCATAAAATCATTTTGTTGCTGTTAATTTCAGTTCCTAATTGTATTTGTAATTGTTATACTTTATACTTTGCAACACTACTCCCTGCTTCACTCTGTCCCACCCCTTTTGGGGCAGACACTCTAACCTCAACTGGTTTCCTAGTGCAAACACTTTTGCATGCAGATAACTTTTCTCAGTTCCCTAAGGCCAGATCCAAAGCTCACTGCAGTCAATGGGAGTCTGTCCACTGATTTCAGTGAGCACTGAAGCAGATTTCTAGTGCATAGGGCAATACTGTTTCTACCTAATTACACAAGGACATTATTTGCAAGAGACAATATGTGTTATTTAAACCCAACAAAAAGTATTTCTGTGGGGACAGAGCAAAAGTAAAAAGCACCTGTACTTGCAGGAGGAAGGACTTTTGTGGAATTGTGAGCATGTTTAGACTTTTGTGGAATATGTGAGTATGTCAGATATGAAGCACAGAGTCCTTTCTGTATGCCGCACTCCAATTGTAGAAGGATTTTGTTTCAGCCTAAATAAGGACAATAACAATAATAATAAAACGTGCTGACTGTTCCTCCGAGACAACATAGCAAGGCAGAATTTCAATTCCCTTTCAAGTGAATGTCTGGTAAAACCACATAAAGAGAGAAAAAAGAAAAGGGATCGGGGGATTAGGTCACAAAAACAAACAAACCCCAAACAAAAAACAATACAAAAGCACAAAACCCCTGTACAAGAGGCTCTTCTATTTATACATCCCTTGTTTACACTGTGCGCTATCCATTATGCTTGTCTGTGTTTGTGCTGCTAAAGAACAAATGGAAACAGAAGGAAATGAACAATGAAATATTTTCTCAGAGCATAGATAAACTTATGGCAGCAGGGTATTGAAGTATGTGACATTTATTAAGAAAGCATTAGTTGATCTCTTCTCACAAACCATTGGCATTTGATTGTTCAGAAATTGACTACCTTCCATTGTTAAGAAACAGAATTGGTGCATGTTTCATGACAGACGGCTTTTCTTCTGGTGTGTGTTCTACCTGCAGATGTTGCTATGAAGAAAGAAGTCAGAAATGACTGATGTAGAGCCCGTGGTCACAGATTTTGCAGCATCGGGAAGAGCAGGTCGACGAAATGCCTTACCAGATATTCTGGGTTCTCCTGCGGGTGCTGGTGCAGGGACTTCAGACTTACCACATAAACTAGCTGAACTTTCCGTGTCAAAAGGTAATGCCTATAAATTGGTGAGAACGAAAGGTTTCATGCAGTTACCTTCCATTTTCTCCCAAAGCTTTCACTGCTTCTCTCAATTCTGATGTCAAGAACAATGATAACATTTCTTCTGCAGTTAGAACTAAGTCTGCACCTGTTTTCCAAAGCAGTCATTAGTTGTGCCCATTAATTGGGAAAGGTTAATTTTACATCAGACTTCAGATAAACTTGCCATATCCCTTATTCTGGGATTATGAGATGAATTCCAAACCCATGCTGCAACAACTAAAACCAGTACCGCAACATCGTTGTTCCACTGATCATATTAAACTTAAAAAACAATAAATGGTCTTTTAGCACTTTATAGACTAACAAAACATGTAGATGGTATCATGAGCTTTCGTGGGCACTGCCCACTTCTTCAGTGGGCTGTGCCCATGAAAGCTCATGATACCATCTACATGTTTTGTTAGTCTATAAAGTGCTACCAGACCATTTGTTGTTTTTTAAGTTTATCCTGTACAGACTAACTCGGCTACCCCCTGAAGCTACTGATCATATTGTTAGTCGGTGACTCACCTTATCCATCAGATTCTCTTCTGCATTGGGGTCTCCTCAGCACAGAAGGGCAAGAGGTGTTGCAAAGCCACTTATAGCACCTCCGTTCCCAAATCACTGCAACATTCTCCCCAACTCAAGTATAAGTCAGAACCATCTAAAGATGCCTCCAACTTGCTATCACCCCAAGGGACCAACTGCCAGCTGTGAATTTGTGCAGAAGTATTTATGTTGTTCAGTGAATAAGATTTCATTTTATCAGTAATAAATGTACTCTGAGCTCAAGGCTGGGGAAAGAAGTGCTGCAGTAGTGTAATCAGGATAAATGCAGGTATGAGATGGCTAGCTTCTCATATGGGGAAAATAGAAGGTAGTTTAGGTTCATTTACCCACTTTTTTTTTACCAGTATACCACTAGTAGCTGCCATTTTCATTACTGAATGGGATGTAGCTGAGAGTAATGAGGATTGGGGTTGTTATTCACAGCTGGGGCTGTGGAGGTGGAAACACTGCATTAGCCAAGCCCAATGAAATATTCATTGGTTTAAAAAAATCTTATTAAGCATTTCATAGTTCAGCACAGTCGCCCTTAAGAGACACACACACACAACTAACATGAATAGAAAAGAGTAAACAAAACAACTGGAGATCAAATAAGATTCCACCCATTTGTTTCATTTTAGCCTCTGGAAAGCTTAGTTGTTGGAAAAAAATGTGCTTCTTGCAGCATAGAACCTCTCCCCTTATTCTTATATCACATAAAAGTGAACATGAAAGAGTGAAAGCATTGTTAAAAGAAATACAAAACCATTACACAAAATTACAAAAGGATTTAGCCTTCCAGATAGCATAATCATCTACTCCTGATGCCCATCCAATCTATTATTAAGAACAAATAAAAAAGAGATACAGTAGCTCCAGGAAAATGTGCTGCTGCTTTCACATGAATACAGGGATGTAATCTGCTGCAAAGATGTGATGAACAACGAATTATCAATTGCTCTTGATGCTGTTGTATAGATGAACCAATGCTATTACTGAAAAGGGTGGTTTTTAAATCCTCCATGACTAATATCAGTAAGTTGCAATGGTGAAAATGAGGCAACAAGTTTGCACAGGGTCAATTTGAGTTAAACTTTATGGATAGCTCAGTAGTGCTGTATGAACAGAGCGTTCTTAAAGGGTTTCCCTGATGGTAGCTGTAAAATGGTTTTGTATCATTCTAATAAACTAGCCAATTAGCCCGTCATAAGATGGGATTTTCAGGTCTCTCCTCCACATCGGTCTTCTCTCCTGAGCCTCCCGTCTCTCGCTCCGTCTCTCTCTCTCTCCTCCTACTGCCTCCCCTCCCCCCCCCCAGCTCTCCT